CGGTGGGAGGGGCGTGGAGCTTCCATGCACCCCTGGGGCACCACCCTCCAGGAACCCCCACGTGTCCAGCTCCCAGGAATCTCCGCCAACCCTGTCCTTTCGGTCTGCGGTAAAAGCTTTGTTCCACAGGCACAGCCGAAGAAGCCCCTGGCCAGGCCTCAAGCCCCTCCCCCTCCCCGGATCCTCCAGTCCTGCCTTGCTCTCTTCCAAGGCCATACCCATCGTGAAGCCACCAGTCATCTCCTGAGCATGAAGACTGCCTTATTCTGGAGAACCTAAGAGCTTTAGCCACTGTCTCGGGAAGTAGGGAGGAAGACTAAACACATCTTTCACAACATCTCAGATGGAATACAGGTTTTATGGAGCACCTGTTATAAAAAGTCAATCAACAAACACCTACAGAACTGTCTCTCTGGCCAAGAGATATTGCAAAGGCTACAAGAGATTTAAGGACTGCTCAGATGATGTTTTCTTCCCCTGCGAAAGGACACACGACAGAATAAGAGTCTTCTAATAGGGCTGGCGCCGCGGCTCACTAGGCTAATCCTCCGCCTTGCGGCGCCGGCACACCGGGTTCTAGTCCCAGTCGGGGCGCCAGATTCTGTCCTGGTTGCCCCTCTTCCAGGCCAGCTCTCTGCTGTGGCCAGGGAGTGCAGTGGAGGATGGCCCAAGTACTTGGGCCCTGCACCCCATGGGAGACCAGGAGAAGCACCTGGCTCCTGCCATTGGATCAGCGCGGTGCGCCGGCCGCGGCGGCCATTGGAGGTTGAACCAACGGCAAAAGGAAGACCTTTATCTCTGTCTCTCTGTCTCTCACTGTCCACTCTGCCTGCCCAAAAAATTTTTAAAAATTTAAAAAAAAAAAAGAGTCTTCTAATAACCAACACAGCCGGCCGGTGCTGCAGCTCACTAGGCTAATCTTCCGCCTGCGGCACCGGCACCCCGGGTTCTAGTCCCGGTCGGGTTGCCGGATTCTGTCCTGGTTGCCCCTCTTCCAGTCCAGCTCTCTGCTGTGGCCCGGGAGTGAAGTGGAGGATGGCCCAATTGCTTGGGCCCTGCACCCGCATGGGAGACCAGGAGGAAGCACCTGGCTCCTGCCTTGGGATCGGCGCAGCGCGCCGACTGCAAAGCGCCGGCCGTAGCGGCCACTTGGGGGGTGAACCAACGGAAAAAGGAAGACCTTTCTCTCTGTCTCTCTGTCTCTCTCTCACTGTCTAACTCTGCCTGTCAAAAAAATAAATAAATAACAACACAGCCTGGGCTCAGAATACGAGGTACTTCAAAACTTCCTGGGAAAGTGGAATTAAAAGAAAAGTTTATTTTGGTACCAAGACTATTGAAACTCTTACACAGTTTTTTCATCATATGCATTTTCCATGAACTTTTTGAAGACCCCTCATATGAACTTGGCCTTCTTCACAAGGTTGTTGAAGAAGCAAGGCTCAGTGGGGCCAGGGACTGCTGTCTGCACAGGGCTGGGAAGCAGAGATGAGCAGGTGCAGGGGCCCAGGCCTCTGACCTCTGGGCTGGCAGCCTGGATTCCAGAAGCAGAAGCAGGGCAGAGTCTACAGCTGACCCCTTCCTCCTGGTAAAATAAGACTGCAAGACTGATGAGAGATCTACAGAGAATTCAGTGAAAACAAGTATTAAGAAAATAATATTCTGGCCGGAGCCATGGCTCACTAGGTTAATCCTCCGCCTGCGGTGCCGGCATCCCATATGGGCGCCAGTTCTATTCCCAGTTGCTCCTCTTCCAGTCCCGCTCTCTGCTGTAGCCCAGGAGGGCAGTGGAGGATGGCCCAAGTGCTTGGGCCCTGCACCCGCATGGGAGACCGGGAGGAAGCACCTGGCTCCTGGCTTCGGATCGGCGCAGCTCCAGCGGTAGCGGCCATTTGGGGAGTGAACCAACGGAAGGAAGACCTTTCTCTCTACGTCTCTCTCACACTGTCTATAACTCTACCTGTCAGATAAATTAAAAAAAAAAAAAGAAAAGAATATTCAGGGCTGGTGCTGTGGTGCAGCGGATTAATGCCCTGGCCTGAAGCGCCGGCATCCCATATGGGCGCCAGTTCGAGTCCCCGTTGCTCTTCTTCCGATCCAGCTTTCTTCTATAGCCTGGGAAAGCAGAAGATGGCCCAAGTACTTGGGCCCCTGCACCGACGTGGGAGACCTGGAAGAAGCTCTTGGCTCCTGGCTTCAGATCAGTGCAGCTCTGGCCATTGCAGCCAATTGGGGAGTGAACCATGGGATGGAAGACCTCTCTCTCTCTCTCCCCCTCACTCACTCTCTCTCTCTCTCTCCCTCTCCCTCTCCTCTCTCTGTGTAACTCTGACTTTCAAATAAATAAATGCATCTTAAAAAAAATCTATGTACAAAATTCACATTCCTTTTTGCCAGTAATATGCAGCTAGAAGGTAAAATTATTAAAAGCTTAGTACTTCTAATGGTAACAAAGCCTTATATCTAGAAATAAATACAACCAAAAATGTGCATGACCTCCAGGGAGAGATGGCTTCGTTGAGAGATATTCAACGAGCTGGGTAAATGGACAGATGAGTCATGAGGACAGATACAAGTCGATACCAGAGAAAGGCACAGATGTGCCCTACATTCCTCTAAAACGTCATGCAACTCGAGCGGAGGGCAGGACTGCAGGTTCAGTGGCATTGGCGTGGTGTGGGCTCCTGGCATTGCGGTCAGCAGTGACCAGCACCAGGTGCAGGCTTGCGGGCCCCGCCACAGCCGTGGCAGCAGCTCCCTGACCTCCAGGCAACGCCTCCTTCCCCCTTTCCTCCAGCCCAGCCGACACCTTGGGAACTAATGTCTGCATCCAGTGCCTCCCTGCTGGAAATCTCTCCGATGACGTCTGTTCTGCGGCCAGAGCACTGACTGAGCTGTGCCCACATGGGTGCTGTAGTCTGAATGTGTCCCCCGGATTCGTCTGAGGAAGCCCTGGCCCCCAGAGTGATGGTGTCAGCAGACAAGGCAGGGCCTCTGTGAGGCTGTGAGGATGGATCCCCAGCGGGGATTAGTGCCCTTCTCCTGAGAGACACCGGAGAGCTTGCCAGAGCAGCAGGTGCACAGAGAGGCAGTCACAGTAAGGCAGGGGCCTCAGAGTGGGACTTTCCTTCCCGCACCTTCATTGTGGGCTTCTCAACCTCCAGGAGACAAAGGTCTATGGTTTAAGCCACCCAGGCTGCGAGACAGCCCTAGCAAACTGCTATAGGATACAAAGAGAAAGTCCAGAAAGTATCAAATAGTAACTAAGGGAAAATGTTGGGAACAGGAGAAAAACAGGCTGAGGAAGAAGAAAGACAGGGAAGAGTACAGGAGGAGAGAAAGGCTAAGGAGGCGGCTTCCTCCCTGCTTCTCACAGCCTCCTCTTTGGTTTTCTTTTGCAAAGCGAGAAAAGGAGCTGGTTTCCTTTTTTATTTTATGAGTGGGAAAGCCAAGTGAAGAACTAAAATATGGCCCAGGGAATTGGATTAATATAAAAAGTCTAAATGATGCAGCTCAAATGCCTCCTGTTTCCCCCTTAGCAACAATTTTTAAACTCACATCATCTTTATAATTGCTTTCTTGTATTGATTCTATTGCACTGGACATAAGACATGTCTAACGGCAAAACTTCCAGAGCAAAGGAGAACAACCGCGAAGTCCAGATGAGGCCAAAGTCAGGGGAACCCAGCACCCGTGGACGCTTACTGGACACATAAATCTGAAGTCCATCCTGCCAAAGGACAAGTGATGATGGAATATTTACCTGTCCAGGATATTATATTATATATTATCTTTACCTGTCCAGAATATTATATATATTATATATTATATATAATGTACAGGATATTAAACTACTTTTGAAAGATGATGCCTTTAAGGAAAGTTGGGGAAGCAAAATTTAGTAAAAAAAATTAAAATCTCAGTGTAACATTTCTTTTAAAGGCAAGCACACTTGCAGAATTTTATGCATTGGCATCAGATTCAGAGGGAACTTAAGGCAGGTTTCCTGGATGATGTGCAAACTGAAAAAAAATCTGCAATGCACTAAAATATCACAGCTTCTCTCCACTGTGAAGGAGACTTATGGAGAGAATTTGGTAAAAAATTCTTTTTTAGAGTTTTATTTATTTGAAAGGCAGCACTACAGAGAGAGGGAGAGATACACACAGAGAGAGAGAGATCCTCCATCCACTGGTTCATTCCCCAAATGGCTGCAATGGCCAGGACTGGGCCAGACCAAAACCAGGAACCAGGAGCTTCATCTGGGTTTCCCATGTGCATATAGGGGCCCAAGCCATCTTCTGCTGCTCTCCAAGGCCATTAGCAGGGACCCGGATCAAAAGTGGTAGCAGCGAGGACGGGAACCAGCACCAGTGTGGGATGCTGGCATCTTAAGAGGAGAGTTTACCCTCTGTGCCACAACGCCAGCCTCTGCTAAGAATCTTGGAACTAATATCAGACTAGAGTAGCACCCTCCACTGGGCAGGTGCACGCCCCTTACCAGAACCAAGCACAAGCACGGGGGTCTGCACCTTCTCGCCTTCTTGGCTCCAGGTGCTAGAAAGCAGGACATCGTTGCAGAGGCCTGGAACCCATGGGAGGGTGTGGACCCTCGGGCCCACATGACAGTGTGCACGCGTGAATCAATGACATGGGCCAAACGCGGGCAAACGCTTGGCAGCAGCAAGGAAGCAGCGTAGGGCAGGCATTGGTGCGGTGGCTGAGACTCCACCCAGGATGCCTACACTCCTGGGTTGAGTCCCGGCTCTGGGGCCGTGTCCACGTCCCATCACCGCACACTCCACGGCCCTGCCCCCTCCACGGGAGGCCCAGGCCGAGTTCTGGGATCCTGGCTTCAGCCTGGCCCGTTCCTGGACATTGGAGGAGTGACCCAGTGGATGGCAGATCTCGCTCTCCCCTTCTCTGTATCTGTCTCTTTTCTTCTGTGTCTTTGCCTCTCACATAAATTTTTATAAAGAAAAAAAAAGAAAAGAAAGCAGTTTAAAACAACATCCAAGTCTCGTTTTATTTCTTCTACTTTTACAAAACAATTGTTAAAACTTTCTTACAAAACGTGCGAAACATTCTCCTACTCAGCAGGTGGGGGTGGGAGTAACTCTCCTCTCGTGATGAACAGGGTGCAGGTGCAGGCGCTGGCCCCACATTCATTCGCCCAGGCCAGAATCCTCGAGCTTAACCACTTCCGTGTTTTCCACGCCCGGCTCATTGGCGGTGGGGACGGCTTTGCTGGAAGTGCTTTGGTGTTCTGACTCCAGAAGCGCCATCTCCTCCCAAGTCGTCGCCAGCGGCTTCCTGTTGGTTTCCGGCAGGGTCATCGAGAACACTCCACCCAGGAAGGAGAGAATCCCCAGGCTCAGCTGGAAGGGATGCAAAATGATGCTGAGCCACCCAGCTCCACGCCCGTGGGCCCTTCACTCTGTCCCCAGAACTGGAACCCGACCGGACAGAATCCACTGTGACCTAGCACTTGTTTTTCTCCCTTGGTGAGAAAGGCCAGTGCTCAGGAGAGGCCCCCGCAGCACGGCAGGCTCAGGCTGGGATTCAGAGAAGGAATCCATTGAGAGAGCATTCAGAGAGGAGAAGGAGGGGCACTGAGACCCAGAGGGAGAAACTCAGGAGGGGAGTCTGCAGGAGGAGGGGAGGCCAGCAGGTGGAGGGCTCCCGCAGGCACCTTGAAAGGAGGCAGGCAGCACAGGACCACACCCCTTCCACCCTCCCTGCTCCCATGTTCCCTGCAAGGCTATAGCAGACCCAGGGCAGCCCCTGTGGGAGATGAGCCTGCCTGCTCCCACCCCAGAGCCACCTGGGGACCCAGCAGGGCAGCCTGGGCCTCATCAGGCCTTCATGAGCCCTGCAGGTTCTGCTAAGCTGAAAACCTCAGGCCCCCACACCTCCTGTTCCCACAAACCCCAGCATCAAGTGACAAAGCAGGGGCTTCTACTCAGTTAAAAACAGGGGAGGCGACCCGCCACTCTGCCTCTCTGCCAGCGAGCCAGTTCCGTAAGCTGATCAGCACCTGGGGCATGAAGATCCAGGTGCTGCTGAGGTACAGGGCGACCGGGGCCAAGATGCTCCCCACGCGGCACACCATGTTGCTGGTGCCCATGGCCAGTGACCTGAAAACACGAGGCGGTTAGGACGGCAGCAAGGATAAGGTGCACCCACAGAGCACACCGGCATGGGTCCCGCCCCACCCTCCCAGTGCCAGGGCAGATCACCCAGCCTAAGCTCAGAAGTCATTTGGCTTGAATTGGTCAGGAATCCCCGGTGAGGTCTCCGCATGTCCACCATGCAGGGTGGGGACGAGCACATGGAGAATTCCCAGCCATTCCCGGCCCACAGCCTCCTGCAGCAGGTGTGTGGATGGAGGCCCTGGGGGCTGATGGGCCTGTGGGGTCTTCTACTGCAGGCATTTGTTTGGGACAGAACACACAGGATGTGTGTATGTGAGGACTATTCCATTTCAGTGGTTTAAAGCCAAGCAAAAACATGGAGCACGCTTCCCTTCAAAGATATTTCAGGAAAACAGACACAAGGTCTGCTAGGAGGGGAAGACAGTGCTGCTCACGTGGACAAGTTCCTCTCTCGGCCAGTGAAGCATCAGCTTTCCTGGGTCACACCCAGTGATAAGTAACCGATAAAAGGGTGACCTTCCGGGGCAGGTGTTGGTTGTAGGTTAAGACACTGATTGAGATGCCCGCATTTCATGTTGGAGCACCTGGGTTCAAGTCCTGGTTCTGCTCCCCATGCCAGCGTCCTGCTAATGGTCACCCTGGGAAGCAGCGGCGATGGCCACTCAGTCTGCAGCAGCTCACTGGGGCAACCTGAGCTAACTCATGCAAATGACATCAGCGTCACAAGATGCACAGGACCATCTGTGGCAGGTGATGGTCTTGGAGGTTGAAAACGGTGTTAATGTAAGAGTGTGATTTCAAAGTCATCTATCAAATGCCCTTGCTTATGGGGTCCAGACGGAGCCTCAGCTCCAGCATGGCATTTCCCTGGGGAAAGAGATCACTCATCTCCCGAGGGCAGGTGCAATAAATGACACACAAGTGGAAGACAGAAACAGGCCACCCTCACCTTACAACGGTTGGATACAGCTCAGCAGTATAAAGGTAAACAAGGCCAAATGTTGATCCTATGAAAAATCTTGCAAATATAGTTGCTGCAATCACCCCAAAGTAGTATCTCTGAAAAAAAAATTAGCAAAGTAGACCGTCACAAGTAATATTTTTGAAAGGAAAATGTAAAAATCGTTACAACAGTTGCTGAAAATGTCTGATTCCTTCAGCGTTCTTTAGAACAACGAAGAGTTTCGCTTTTCTGTTGGAGCTTATTTGGATCTCCAGCCAGGCGTGCAGAAGCTGTCTGTCTCCCCAACAGGCAGAGGCGCCCCCGCAGCTTCCTGGTTGTAGACTGGCCCCTTCCAAAGCCTCCGCTCTCCACACCCGGGGCAGCCGGCTGTCAGGACGCAGGGCCACCCTGGGGCCCTGTGCTCAGGAGGCAATGCCCCTGCCAGCCTGGGGCCCTTCGCGACCTCCTGGAGGCCTGGAGGGCTGTCCTGGGGTGAACGTGCCCACAGTGGAGGCGAGTGACAGACTGCTGCTCCCAGCAAGACACTGCACACCAAGAGCAGGCTCCCCGGGGGACTCAGGGCAGCAGCAGCTGGAAGCTCCCGGTCTCCGCACGGGAAGACGGGAGTGCAGCAGTTGGGACCCCTTGGCTGTCTGGCTCTGCAGAGCCCTCGGAGGTCTCCATGCCATCACGGGCCACTGCCTCTGAGGGGCACCTCATCCTCGACATGCCAGACAAAACCCTCCACCTCGCATGCACACACAACACACACACACACCCCTTCCCCACCTTCATCCTGTTTTGTTTTCCTTCAATACATTTACAGAATGACATTACAATGTCATTATGACATTACAGGTGTCCCCAGCACCTGGCCCATAACAGATGCCGGCTAAATCTCAATTGACTGAGTCAGTAAGTGAAAGTTCAGTAGAACAAGGATCACTGGATGCTGTGATGCTGTCCTCACACTACATTTTTGGGTGTAAAATCGGGGTGCCTGGTTTGACTCCCAGCTCCACACTCAATTCCAGCTTTCTGCTAATGTGTACCCTGGGAGGCAGCAGGTGATGGCCTAACTGCTTGGATCCCTGCCACCCACATGGGAGACCCAAAGTGAGTTCTGGGATCTTGGCTCAGAACTGGCTCAGCCCTGGCTGTTGTGGGCATTTGGGAAATGAATTGGTGAATTGGAGCTCTCTTTTTGACTCCAAGATAAAAATATTTTTCTTATATATGGGATACTTTTTACAAAATGATTTACTTATTCATTTGAAAGTCAGAGTGAAAGAGAGCAGAGATAAAAGGAAAGAGAGCTTCTGTCTACCAGTTCAGTTCCCAAATGCCTGCAATAGCAAGCCCTGGGCCAGCCAGAAGCCAGGAGCCAGCAACTTCATCCAGGCACCATTTTCTGCCTCCACAGTACATTAGGAAGAAGCTGGATCAGAGGTGTGCATTAGCCAGGATCGAACAGGCATGCTGATATGGGATTGCAGGGTCCCAAGTGGAGGATTAACTCACTGCACCACAACACCTGCCCCAAGAATAAATATTATAACATGCTGATTCAAAAAGAGAACGTGAGGTTCACAAAATACACACAGGCCATCTCTGGAAAGTAAAATTATGAGCTCTTAAACAAATATTTATTTTTTCCCTTCAGTCTTTACACAGTGAACATATATTACTTATATAACAGAGAAAGAATCAAATTTCAAAGAAAATACATTTTCCCTCAGAAACCTTTTATTTAAGGTATACAGACTTCATGTATTTCATGAATACAACTTCAGGAACATGGTGATTCTTCCCACACCACCTGCCCTCCCTCCCACACCCCCACCCTTCTTCTTCCTCCTTCTCTTATTCCCATTCTTATTTTTCCCAAGTTCTATTTTCAATAAATTTTATACACATAAGACTAACTCTATACTAAATAAAGAGTTCAATAAATTGCATGAAAAACAAAGCTGTTCCTCAACAGTAGAGACAAGGGCTGTTCCAAGTCATCTCATCTCAAAGTGTCAGTATCACTTCTGTAGATTACCTTTTAGGTGCTCTACTAGTTACCTCAGATGAGGGTATGGTATTTGTCCTCTTGGGACTGGCTTATTCGACTAAGTGTGATGTTTTCCAGTTCCATCCATTTAAAAAAAAAAATTCTTTTTGACGGCTGTATAGTGTTCCCATGGTGTTCATGTCCCATAATTTCTTTATCCAGTCTTCAGTTGACAGACATTTAGGTTGATTCCACATCTCAGCTATTGTGAATTAAGCTGCAATAAATATGGGAGTACAGATAACTCTTCCATAAGCTGATTTCATTTCCCTTGGGTAAATTTCCAGGAGTGGGATGGCTGGGTCATATGGCAGGTCTATATTCAGATTATTCAGGTATCTCCATACGGTCTTCCACAGTGGCTTTACCAGTTTACATTCCCACCAACAGTGGATTAGGGTACCTTTTTCCCCACATCCAAGCATTTTTTGTTTGTTGATTTCTGTATGAAAGCCATTCTAATGAATGTGAGGCAAAACCTCATTGTGGTTTTGATTTGCATTTCCCTGATGGCTAGTGATCCTGAGCATTTTTTCATGTATCTGTTTGGCCATTTAGATTTCCTATTTTGAAAAATGCCTGTTGAAGTCCTTTCCTCAATCTTAACTGGGTTGTTTGTTTTGTTGTGTGGAGTTTCTTGATCACTTTATATATTCTGGTTATTAATCCTGTATCCGTTGAAAGTTTGCAAATAGTTTCTCCCATTCTGTTGGTTGTTGCACTTTGCTGAGTGTTTCTTTTCTGGTGCAGAAGCTTCTCAAAATGATGTAATCACATTTGTCAATTTTGGTTTCAATTACCTGTGCCTCTGGACTCTTTTCTAAGAAGTCTTTGCCAATGTCAATGTCTTGCAGGGTTTCTCCAATGATCTCTAAGAATTTGAGAGTATTGGGTCATAGATTTAGGTCTTTGATCCATTTTGAGTACGTTTTGTGTAAAGTGTAAGATGGGGGTCTCGCTTCATACTTCTGCATGTGGAAATCCAGTTCTCCTAGCACTATTTGTTGAAGATCCTGTCCTTGCTCATGGGATTGATTTTTAACTCCTTTGTCAAAGATGAAGTTGGTTGCAGATGCATGGGTTGATTTTTGGTGTTTCTATTCTGTTTCATCAGTCTATCCATCAGTGTTTTTTTGTTTGTTGTTGTTGCTGTTGTTTTGCCAGCCTAAGGCTGCTTTGGTTATAACTGCCCTGTAGGATGTCTTGAAATCTGGTATTGTGATGACTCTGGCTTCATTTTGCTGCATAAGATTGCTTTAGCTATTTGGGGTCTCCTGTGTTTCTTTTGTTTTTAATAAATTTATTTATTTGAAAGGCAGAGTTACAGGGAGGCAGAGGCACAGAGATAGAGAAAGAGGTCTTCCATCTGTTGATTCACTCCCCAGATGACCACAATGGCCAGAGCTGCACTGATCCAAAGCCAGGAGGCAGGAGCTTCTTCCAGGTCTCACTCGCAGGTGCAGGGGCCCAAAGTCCTAGGCCATCTTCTACCACCTTCCCAGACCATAGCAGAGATCTGGATCAGAAGTGGAGCAGCTGAGACTTGAACCCATATCCATAAGGGATGGCAGCACTGCAGATGGCAGTTTTATCTGCTATGCCATGGCGCTGGCCCCTGCCTGTGTTTCTATATGAATTTCAGCATCATTTTTCTATATCTGAGAAGAATGTGCTTGGTATTTTGCTTGGTATCACATTGAATCTGTAGATTGCTTATGGTAGCATGCACATTTTGATGATATTGATTCTTCCAAACCATGAATATGGAAGATTTTTCCATTTTTCTGTGTCATCTTTTATTTCTTTAACATTTTGTAATTCTCATCAAAGATATCTTTGATGTCCTTCATTAAATTTATTCCAAGGTATTTGATTTTCTTCTAGCTATTATGAATGGGATTGATCTCAGGAATTCTTTCTCAGCCATGGCATTTTCTGTGTATACAAAAGCTATTGGTTTTTGTGTGTTGATTTTATATCCTACCACTTTGCCAAACTCTTCTATGAGTTCTAATAGTCTTCTACTGCAGTCTTTTGTATCCCTTATATATAGAATCATTTCTTCTGCAAATAAGGATAGTTTGACTTCCTCCTTCCCAATTTCTATCCCTTTGATTTATTTTTCTTGCCTAATGGCTCTGGCTAAAACTTCTAGGACTATTTTGAATAGCAATGGTGAGAGCTGGCATCCTTATCTGGTTCCAGATCTCAGTGAGAATACTTCTGTTTCTCCATTCAAAAGGACGCTGGCCATGGGTCTGTCATAAATTGCCTTGATTGTGTTGAAGAATGTTCCATCTATACCCAATTTGCTTAAGGTTTTCAACATGAAAAGATGTTGTATTTTATCAAATGCTTTCACTGCATTTATTAAGATAACTATATGATTTTTGTTTACAGTTAGTTAATGTGATACATCACAATGATTGATTTGTGAATGTTGAACCATTCCTGCATACCAGGGATAAATCCCACTTGGTCCAGGTAAATGATCTTTCTGATGTGTTGTTGGATTCAATAAGCTAGTATATGGTTCAGGACTTTTGAATCTATGTTCATAGGAGACATTGGTCTGTAGTTCTCTTTCTCTGTTGCATCTTTTTCAGGTTTAAGAATCAAGATGATACAGGCTTCATAGAAGGAGTTTGGGAGGATTCCCTCCCTTTCAATTATTTTGAACAGCTTGAGAAGAATTGCAGTTAGTTCTTTAAATGCCTGGTAGAGTTCAGCAGTGAAGCCATCCTATCCCAGGCTTTTTTTTGTTAGGAGGGTCTTTATTAATGATTTAATTTCTGTTTTGGTTATTGGTTTGTTTAGGCTTTCTGTGTCCTCATAGCTCAATTTAGGTAAGTTGTATGTGTCCAGGAACCTATCCATTTCTTCTAGGTTTCCCAATTTGCTGGCATACAGCTCTTTGTAGTAGTTCCTGATGATTGTTTTTATTTCTGTGGTATTTGTTGTTACATTTCCTTTATCATCTCTAATATTATTGATTTGGGTCTTCTCCCCCACCTTTTTTTGTTTAGTTGGGACAACGATGTGTGAATTGTGTTTATTTTTTGAAAAAAAAAAAAAAACCGCTCTTCATTTTGCTGATCTTTTGTAATTTTTTTATTTCAATTTTGTTAATTTCTTCTCTAATTTTAATTATTTTGTTTCTTCTACTAATTTTGGGTTTGGTTTTCTGTCGTTTGTTTAGGTCCTTGAGATGCATTGATAGCCCATTTATTTGGTGCCTTTCGAATTTCTTGATGTAGGCATTAATTGCTATAAACTTTCCTCTTAACACTGCTTTTGCTGTATCCCATAAGTTTTGATAGGTTGTATTGTCTTCATTCATTTCCAGAAATATTTTTATTTCTCTTTTGATTTCTTCTATAACCCACTGTTCATTCAAGAGTATTTTGTTCAGTCTCCATGTGTTTGTATATGTTCTGGAGATTCTTGAGTTGTTGATTTCCAGCTTCATTCCATTGTGGTCAGAGAAGATGCATGGTATGATTTCAATTTTTTTGAATTTGCTGAGACTTGCTTTATGGTCTAGAATGTGGTCAATCCTATAAAAAGTTCCATGTACTGGTGAGAAAAATGTGTACTCTGCAACTGTAGGATAAAAAGTTCTGTAGATATCCATTAGGTCCATTTGGTCTACAGTGTCAATTAACTTTGCTGTTTCCTTGCTGAGTTTCTTTCTGGTTGATCTGTCCATTGCTCAAAGTGGGGGTACTGAAGTCCCCCATTACTATTGTGTGGGAGTCTATGTCTGCCTTTAGATTCATAAACATAGCTTTTAAATAGCCAGGTGACCTGTAATTAGGTGCATATACACTTGTTATAGTTACATCTTTGTGTTGAATTGATACCTTAATCATTGCGTAGTGCCCTTCTTTGTCTCTTTCAACAGTTTTTTGTTAAAGTTTATTTTATCTGATATTAGGATGGCTACACCAGCTCTTTTTTGGTTTCTGTTACCATGGAATATCTATTTCCATCCTTTTACTTTTGGGTGTATCTTCTTGGTGAGATGTGTTTCTTGGAGGCAACAAAAGATGGGTTTGAGGGTTTTTTTTTTGTTTGTTTGTTTGTTTGTTTTTTCATTCAGCCAGTCTGTATCTTTTAACTGGCAAGTTGAGGCCATTTACATTCAAGGTGACTATTGTTAAGTTTCAAATTGGACCTGTTACTTTTCCATAAATAGTCCTATTGTTTACTTTGGATTTCCTTTGTACTCTTACTGGAAGATTTTCTGCCTACACCTTCTTTCATAGTGAGGAAATAGTTTTTAGGTTCTAAAGAGTAGGAAGTAACATCTTATATTCTGCTTACTAAGTATCTGTTTGCCAGCAAAGTGATTCCAAACTATTTTGAGGGTAGCTCTGATACTAAACAAAAGCGATAGGTTCAGCTTCTAAGGTTCCATCTTTCTGTGTTTCTGTGTGTAGCAATCCTTAAGCATCTTCTGTAAGGCTGGACAAATAGTGATGAATTCTTTCAATTTGTTTGTTATGGAAGGTCTTCATTTCAATTTTATTCATAAATGAGAGCTTAGCAAGGTACTATATTCTGGATTGACAGATGCTTTTCTCTTAAGACTTGGAATATATCTAGCCAATCTCTCCTAGTATGGAGGGTTTCTGATGGGAAGTCAGCTGTGAGTCTAATTGGAGATCCTCTGAAAGTAATCTGGTGTTTCTCTCATGCACATTTTAGAATCTCTTCTTTATGTTTTCCTGTGGAGAGTTTGATTACAATGTGATGTGGTGAAGATCTTTTCTGGTCATGTCTATCAGGAGTTCTATGTGCTTCCTGTACTTGGATGTCCCTTTCTTTCTCCAAATTAGGGAAATTTTCTGTAGTTATTTCACTAAAGGCATTCTAATCCATTCTCTATTTCTGTACTTTTAGGAACTCCTAAGACTCCATATGTTGGGTCATTTGATAGTATCCCATAAATCTTCAACACTGTTTTTTAGTTTTCTTCTTCTTCCTCTTCTTCATTTTTTTTTTTTTTTTGGTTTGACTGTAAAATTTCCAGAGATTTATCTTCTAATTCAGATATTCTTTCTTTGGCCTCACTGAGTCTGTTGTTAAGTCTTTCCACCACAATCTTTATTTAATCTATTGCATTATCATCTCTGATATTTTGATTTCTCTTTAAAATCTGAATTTCATGGGAAAAAGTTTCTTTCATATATGAATTTAATTCATGGATTTGCTTTTAATAACTTCTCCATTTCTGGCATTTTCTTCAATCACTTTATCTTTACTATCGAGTATTGCATTGTTGTTGTGTTCCTTTAGGCCATCATGTTTTCTTCCTTATTTTTGTTTCTTGAATTGTTGTGCTTATTTTTAGGCATTTGTGGAGATATTTTTTTCCCCTGTGATGATTTTTATCTCCTGGACTATGCCTCTGAGGTTTAGTGGAATGCCTGTTCTTTCTGAATACCCAGAAGTGTGTGCTGGGTGTGGCCAGAAAGCTCTATTCAGTGCTCCAGGGTGAGGAAAGTGTCCAAGGTGACACCCAAGTTAGGCATGGTAAATCTCTTTTTCTTTAATCAGAGGGGAGTTTATTTTTAAGATTTTATTTATTTATTTGAGAAGTAGAGTTACAGACAGTGAGAGGGAGAGACAAAGGACCCAGGAGCTTCTTCCAGGTCTCCCATGTCAGTGCAGGGGCCCAAACACTTGGGCCATATTCTACTGCTTTCCCAGGCCATAGCAGATCAGAAGAGGAGCAGCCAGAACAAGAATCAGTGCCCATAAGGATGCCAGCGCCATGGGCAGAGGATTAACCTTCTGGCCCCAGAGGGGAGGTTTAATCTGCTCTGTGGTATAATCTCATGCTTGCCTTCTCTCCTCCAAGGACACCAGTGCCTGGTTGCTAGATACAGTGAGTACAATATTCATCTGTGCTGCCACAAGAACCACACAAAGGATCCATGCAGTCCTTGGTGTGAATACAGATCCTGCAGCGATGAAACTCACCAGGGAATCAGGGAGCCCCAAACATGTGGAGCTGTTCACAGTGACTGCCCAAAGACCCAGCCAAATCCTGCACCCTCACATGCAGCCACAGCGTTTCCACAGTTCCAACACACAAGACTCCCACAGTTACGAGCACCCAGTCCCCTGTCAATTTTCCCAACCATACTCAGGTGTCTCCTCTCAGCTGGTTGCTGGGATCATGGACATGAGCTGGTGCAACTGTTACATATGTCCAAAATGGCACTCATCCTCTCTCAGCTAGTTACAGGACACCATCGCCAGGTGGTCTGGGAGAGAGAAACATACCCCCTTTTCTTTGTCCTCTAGGTTGGCAGGTATACTGTCCCCCACAGGGCTCCAAGCCAGACCTACACCAGGCTCTTCCCACAGCTTTACTGCCCATGGCTTGGGTTGCTTCAGTCTAGTCTCACCTCACTCTCCACAGCTGGTGCTAAAGGTCTTGGCTGCTGGAATCCTGAGTTGTCCGCACCCTCCACATAGGTCCACAGCATCCCTGTAATTTGTGTGGAGTTTCCTTTGCCGCTTTCTCCCCAACTCTTCCCTGAGATTGCACTCCCTCCATTTTTTTTTAACTGTCTTCCCCTAGACTAGAGCAGTAAGCTCCTTCTCTATTCTGCCATATTGGAATTCTCAGAAAATATGCTTTTAAGTATTATATACTGTCCATGTGTCTGAACTGACACTCAGATTTAGTATCATGTGCTAACAATCCTTCCAAAAACCTGTCAGAGTATAACTCATTGTTCTCAACAAGAAATACAACCCAACTCACCTGGGGTATGGCGATGATGATGGTGCAGAACAGAGCAATGCAGAAGAGGCAGAAGGCCTGACCAATTCTCCTCCCAACCTTGTTGATCAGGACACTTGTGAAGATGTAGCCAGGAATTTCCAGCACGGCTGTCATTGAATGAATGGGTCATCTCTAAGGCTGGGCACTTGACTGCACAAGGGACCCACCTTCTACTCCTCAGGGCAGGAGCAACCTTCTCCCTGCTTCCAGGGCCTTTGAGAACCCTCGGAGGGCTGTCTCAAAGGCAGCGAGCCCTGTCATGTAAACTCAGTGAGAGGACGAGCATGTCCTGTGAAATGCAGTAATGCTCACGTTATCCACCTAGCACTTGCCTCCATTCTAGGGGCCTTATCTCACACTAGGCTGCAAGCTGCCCAGGTCACAGCATGGTGCCTGGAGGACAGCCTGTTGAGTGAATAAATGAGCAAATTAATAGACAACATTGATTATTTCTCATTTTAGTTTCTCTGCTTGTCAGAACTAGGGGAATGCTTTCCAATCAATAGCTTCAAACTTAAGAACTGCTCAAGAAAAATAAAAGTGGAGGTCATGATTTAGACAGATCCTAAGGCCAACAGCCCATAACCACAAAAGGAAAGCTTAAGTCAGCCTGTTTTCCCTGATGTACCTCCAATCCTAAATTAAACACACAACAGAAGCTCCGTGACCTGGTCAGCACGATTCTGTGACACTTAGCCACTGGGCTACACACAAACCAGCTTCAACAGGTCTATGTGTCCTGAAAAGAATGTGAATAATATCACAACCAATCCAGAAAATGGCAAAATCCGTCCTCCATTCTGCTTTATAAACAGGCTTGCAAATGCTCTCAGGCGAGCTTTTCATCACTTAGCTTAAGGTCTCCCATTCAAGAACTGTTCTTCTGGACGCACAACAAACTTTTGATCTGATTTTATTTTTTTAAAGATGAATATCTTTTTTTATTTGAAAGGCAGAGTGACAGAGAGAGGAAGAGACAGTGGGAGAGAGTGAGAGATCTTCCATCTACTGTTTGACTCCCCAAATAGCTACAACAGCCAGGGCTTGGCCAGGCTGCAGTCATGAGCCTGGAACTCCAGCTGGGCCTCCCATGTGGGTGGCAGGGGCCCAAGCATTTGGGCCATCATCCACTGCTTTCCCAGGAGCATTAGCAGGAAGCTCAGTCAGAAGTGGAGCAGCCGGACTCCTAGCTTAACACGCTATGACACAACACCACTCCGATTTTATTATTTGACAAAGCTAAAGCAGCAAGTTTGTTATTGGCTAAGTACACAAACCAATAACAACACCTAATAGATTTGAAATCTAAAAGGAAGTTTTTAAATTTTAATTTTAAATTAGTTTTTAGCAGATTCAATATGCTTTGTAGATGCAGTTCTAAAAAAAATCCCCTTCTTCTCTCACCCCCTCCTGCCTCCTCTCTCCCTCCCACCCTCCTTCCTTCTCTTTTTTCTTGTTTTTTACTTTCTGATATAACACATTTTAAATTTACATTACTTTCTGAGATAACATTACAAATTTACATTACAGTAAAAAGGCTAATACTCATAAAATAAGAAGTTTAACAAGAAAAAGCAAAAAGACCCTAGTTTAGTGGGAATATACACAATGGCTACAAACAATAATTGAATGGAAAAATGACCATTTTGGGTCAAATAGAGTTTTATAGTAATCATGGATCATTAAATCTACAGTAGTATAACATTCTTAACCATTGGTTTCACAAGGTGTGAAACAAAATTTTAGAAGATTATTTTTTGTAACAATATGGATACACACAAACATTTCTTTCTTTGTTCTTTCTTCTTTTTTATGTTTGTTTTTTAAATTTTAGCACCCACATATAAGGAAGAACATGCAGTATTTGTCTTTCTGGGTCCAGCTTATTTCAATCAACATGATGTCCTGCAATTGTGTCCATTTTGCTGCAAATGGTAGAATTCCATTCTTTTTTTATAGCTGAATAATATTCCATTTTGCATAAGTATCACATTTTCTTTATCCATTTACCTGATGATGAACACCTTAGTTGATTCCAAATGTTGGCTATTGTGAACAGCGCTGCTATGAACATTGTGGTGCAGGTATCTCAAGTATTTTGGGTATTCACCCAGTAGTGGGATTGCTGGATCATATGGCAAGTCTATTTCTAGATCTTAAAGAAATCTCTACACTGTTTTCCACAATGGCTGCACTAAGAAGGAAGGCCTCTCTGTCTCTAACTCTGTCTGTATCTCTGTCTTCCAAATAAATGAAATAAATCTTTTTTAAAGAGTCAACTCTAGATGGACCAAAGACTTAAATGTAAGACCTGAGACTCTGGAGGTGCTGGAAGAAAACATAGGGAAAATACTCCCAGGCATTGGTGTAGTGGAGGGCTTCCAGGACAAAATCCACAAGGCACAGGCAACAAAAACAAAACTAAACAAATGGAACTATATCAAACTCAGAACCTTTTGCACAGCAAAGGAAATAATAACTAGAGTGAAGAGACATCCAACAGAATGAGAAAAAATACTTGCAAACCACCTGACAAAGGATTAATATCCTGAATATATCAACAACTTAAAAAAGTGCGACAACAACAACAACAACAACAACAAAAACGATCCAGTTGAGAAATTGGCAAAGGAATTTAATAGACAGTTCTCAAAAGAAGAAATACAGAATAGGCACTATGGCACAGTAGGTTAAGCATCCATCTGTGGCACCAGCATCTTTTATGGGTGCTGGTTCGAGTCCCAGCTACTCCACTTCCAATCCAGCTCCCTGTTAATGTGCCCAGGAAACAGTGGAAGATGGTTCAACTGCTTGGGCCCCTGCGCCCATGTGAGAGACCTGGAGGAAGTTCCTGGATCTGGCTTTGGAGTGGCCCAGCTCCAGTCGTTGTGGCCATTTGAGGAGTGAACCAGCAGATGGAAGATCTCTCTCTCTCTCTCTCTCTCTCTGATTCCCTCTGTCTGCAACTCTGCCTCTCATATACATAAATAAATCTTTAAGAAAAAAAAAATTTCCACAGTGGCTGCACTAATTTATATTCCCACCAACTATGTCTAAGTGTCCCCCTTTGTCCACAATTTTGCCAGCAGTTGTTACTCTATGATTTTCTGGATGACCTGCCCATTGATGAGAGTGGGGCACTGAAGTCACCCACAATATTGTTTTGGGATCTATTTTTCTCTTTAGGTCTAATAGTATTTTTTGTACACATCTGGGTGGTCTTGCATTAGGCACATACATATTTATGATTGTTATGTCTTCTTGCTGAATAGAACTTTTTATAAAAACATATCTTTATCTCTTTGTATAGTTTTTGATTTGAACCCTGTTTTATCTGCTATCAGGATAGCTATGCCTGCTCATTTGTGGTTTCCATTGGCCTGGTATATCATTTTCCAACCCTTCCCTTTAAGTCTCTGTGTATATTTGTGAGTTTCTTGTAGGCAGTATATAGTGGGGTCATGTTTTTTTTTTTTAATCCATTCAGCCCACCTAAGTCTTTTGGTTGGTGAGTTTAATCCACTTACATTCAAGGTTAGTACAAACAGGTAACAACTAAGACCTGTCATTTTGTTGATTGGATAATGATTCTACCTGCTCTGTCGGTGAATTTGGTGGTGACACGTGTTTCATGTTACTTCTAATGCAGGACACCCTTCAGAATTTCTTGTAAGGCTGGTCTGGTGGTGGTGAATTCTCTTTAATCTAATTGGTTTTCCTTCATATGTACCTTGTTGTTTTTCTCTGTCTTTAGGATTCTTTCTTAGTCTTTAACTTTTGACAATTTGATGACAATATGCTTGGGGAAGACATTTTTTGGTTGAGTCTGCTTGGGGTTCTCTGCTTATATCTGGATGTCTATGTCTCAAGACCTGAAAATTTTTCAAATATTATTTCATTTAGTAGATTTTCAATCCCTTTTGCCTTTTCTTCTTCAATAATATCTATAATACAAATATTTGTTTAATGGTATCCCATATTCTGTTCAGACTTTCTTCATTCTTTTTAATTCCTTCTCTTTACTTTTGTTTGATTTTGGTTACTTCTTGTCCTCAAGGTCAGAAATTCTTTCTTCTATTTGGTCTATTCTGCTGTTAAAGCTCTCAATTGTATTTTTATTTCACTGATTGAAGATTTCATCTCCAAAATTTCTGTTTAGTTCTTAATGAATTGCTGTCCTTAGTAATATTTTCATTCATGTCACTCGTTGATTTCCTCATTTCTTTTCTGTGTGTATTCTCTTGAATCTTGTTGAGTTTCCTTACAGTCATTATTCTGAATTCTGTATCTGTCATTTCATAAATTTCCTTCGTTCAGGATCTAATTCTGGAGGGGATTTTTTTTTTTTTTTGGTAGTGTCATGCTACCTTGCTTCTTCATGTCTCCTCTGTCTCTACATTGATGTCTGCCTGTCTGGTATACTCATCCCTTCTTCTTATTGGAGTAGGTTTTATCGGAAAAGAATCTATGGTTTAGCTGGAATGCAGAGTATCACTTGGTTTATTGCTTTGGCTTTAGTTCGGAGTGAGCCCAGGAGTGTAGTCTCTGAGTGATTTCTCTTGTCTTAATCTATGTCAGTTGTGTCTGTAAGTGACACAGTGGTCTAGTCTGCTGCAGTTTGCAGGAATACAAGTATGGCTTTGAGATGAATAAGTGCTTCCTTGGATGTGTATCTTGGGCCCACAGTGAGTTCAGTATCAGTCTCCATGGTGAATGTGATAGCCAGGGTCTTGTTCTTGAGGTGCTGAGGGAGACAAACATGACTGCCCCCTTGTTCTACTGGAAGCCTGAGTGTTGCTGGGGTTTGTGGCACCAATTTCTATGGCTATAGGACTATGTGATACAGATGGACCCTTCCTCAGGTCCTGCTAGGAGAGTTCAGTTGGTACTGTGGTTTATAATACCAACAGCCCTAGTCCTGGGACTACAGCATGTGAAATGAAACCCTTCCAGTCCTACAGGGGGACTACAAGATATAGAGATTTTACTGTGGAAGATATGAGTCCAGAGAAGTGGAATGCAGGTAGGTTCTTCCCTATGTCCACTAGGTGGATCCCAGTGACACCGAGAAATCCAGAATGAATTGCTACAGTTCTGGTGTTGCAGGGTATAGTGGGGTCATTACCAGATCTCCCAGGGTGGGAGTGTGTGGTGGAATGAGAAAGCCATGCCAAAGTGGCCGCTGGCAAGCAAGCGTCAGTTACTCAGGAATGGCTTTGAAACCCACCTGGCAATGGAGCCTGCCTGGCAACAGGCTGTGATTGAATGGATTTGAAACCCACCTGGCAATGGAGCCTGCCTGGCAACAGGCTGTGATTGGATAGCTTTGAATCCCACCTGGCAATGGAGCCTGCCTGGCAACAGGCTGTGATTGGATGGCTTTGGAAACTGCCTGGCAACAGGCTGTGATTGGTTGGGGCATAGACTGCCCCTTGACCAGATTGGCTGGTCTTGGCTATATAAGATGTTGTACCAACTGAAATAAATGAGTCTGTGGGCTACTTGCCTCAAGTCCGCTTTCACCCAACTCCTGGGGTCTGTGTGGTGACTCTGCACCTCTTGCTCCCACCACACTCCTCCTCTCAGAAATGAATCCAGTTGAGAAATCAACTGCAACAGGAGTGGATTTTTTTTTATGGACTGCTTTTGGTGTTAGCCCCAAGAAGCTAAGGTAAATCCCCCGGGCTCACATAGACCGCATCAGCATAGCTCTGGGACTAATGCCCCAAAACTCCCAGTTGTCACATGCAGGGGATCCGTCCTTTGCCCCGTATGTTGGGTTGACTCTAAGATGTTGGTAGGAGCAGAACAGAGGTGTGCTGTGTGACTTTTCGCTGCCAGGCGTGGTGCTCTGTGCGGGTTGGGGAGAGGAGGAAAGCAACACAGCTTCCCCGCTCCAAGCCTGGCAGTTGCTCAGGCCCCAGTCAGCTCTCCAGGCTGAAGCAGAGTCAGCAGGTGACTGTGGAATTCTCAGCTAGCGCTGCGAGTGGCAGGGCACCCGGCGATTTCCTCCTGTCTTGATGAGGTCATACGGCAGGCAGCTGGCAGTGCCACATGGCTGACTGCAGTGGTATTGCTGTTTTCTCTCCCCCTGTCTCATGGAGTCTTCATTGCTTTTTTTTTTTCCCCCCACTTCTTCACTGAAAACTTCCATCAGATCCCTGGAACTGTAGTCTTCTTTTGTAGTTTTCACATCCCAGAGCAGCTTAAGTTAGTGTGGCTACGCCCTATTCAGCCATCTTGGATCTCTAGAAGGAATACATTTTATATTATAACGCAAATCCCCTGCAGAACTGGGCCTTTGTCTTGGACCTCCTCCTGTCTCACCACAGTGAGAAAAAAAAAAAAAAAAGAACTGAGTCCATAAATTGATGAATCTATTGAATTAAAAGTCTTTCTCCTAGAGAACCCGGGACTGAACCTGAGATCCAGAAGACAAGACAAGAAGCCTTATCACTGTGAGCCAGGCAAATCACAAGGCTCTCCTGCAAACTAGGCAGCACCAGCCGTGAGGGGCAGGGGGCACTCACTGTCCCCCAGCCTGTGCCTTGCTCGATTCCCTTTTGGGAACTCTCTGCCCTCTGGCATTTGCCCAGCCGCAAGGACATGGCCACACCTGCCTTGTAGGAGTCAGGTGCCTTTGTCCCGTCAGCTGTGGCCTGAAGCAGCCTCCAGAGGTGCAGGGCTGGGTCTCTGTCTCACGCAGCCTCTGGCTAACAGCAGGGGGAGCTGTGCATCTTTCGAGTGCACACCGTTAGGACATCAGAAAGGAACCTCAGTCGCAGGTGCTCAGGAAAAAGGGCTGGCTCCGGAACAGGCAAACGCTGGCGTTGGGAGCCCCGTGGGAGGAAAGCCCCTCACCCTTCTTGACTGAAAACTGAACAGCTCTGGAGCGACAGGCCCACCGTCAGCCTGGACTTGTGGTGGGAGAAAGTTTCTAAGGATCACTTCCTTCTCTTGCTTTTTCAAGAGTTCGTCGAGTGCTTTTCTGTACCAAACAAGGCAATGACTGCCAACAGAGCCGCCTGTGAGTAGGCCTGGGCTGTTATCCCCATCTCACACCCTCCACTACATGATTTGAGCGAATGAGCAAACAACCACTCTGGCACTGGAGTGAGGTCTTCAGGAAGCCAGAGCCCCTTGCAGCAGCCTCCCGATCCCGATCCCCGCTCTCCAGGGCTGGCTCAGGGCTTCTCCCCATACATGACTGGGTGCTGAGCCACAACCACCATCCTATAAGGTGGGGCAGGGATTGGACACAGTTGAAGAGAAATGTCAAGTGTGCTACGCTGGGCGGGCGTCGTGGTATGGCAGGTGAGGCTGCCACTTGGAATACTCATATCCCATATCACGGAGCCTGGGATCAACTTCGCCTCCGCTGCTGATCCAGCTTCTCCCAATGCACCTGAGAGGCAGTGGATCATAGTCAAAGTGCTTGGGTTCCTGCCATCCACATGGGAGACCTGCATGGAGTTCTCCTGGCTCTTGGCTCTGGCTTGGCCCAGCCCTGGCTGCTGTAGGCCTCTGGAGAGTGAAACAGTGGACAGAAGATCTCTGTCTCTCTCCCTCTATGTCATTCTGCCTTTCAAGTAAATAAATGAATAAACTTTTCAAAAATAAACAAAGTGTGCGACGCTGCTGTTTCCTGAGTTGGTGTTCCAGGGCACTGAAAAGATACCCAGGGGCTAGCACTGTGGCACAGATGGTTAAAGCCCTGGCCTGTAGCACCAGCATCCCATATGAGTGCCAGTTCGAGTCCTGGCTGCTCCACTTCTAATCCAGTTTTCTGATATTGCCTGGGAAAGCAGCAGAAGTTGCGCCAAGTCTTTGGGCCCCTGCACCTGCGTGGGAGACCTAGAAGAAGCTCTTAGCTCCTGCCTCCTGGCTTTGGATCATCTTGTCTCTGGCAGTTGCAGTCATTTGGGGAGTGAACCAGTGGATAGAAGACCTCTCTCTCTCTTGCTGTACCTCTCTCTGTAACTCTTTCAAATAAATAACATAAATCTTTAAAAAAAAAAAAAATCAGTGTCTTAGCTTGACCATGGCTAGGCTTTCAATGCTGCAAGCAAGGAGGCTCAGCTCCCTCGGCATTAGGACAATGTGTCATCACTTTCCTCATTTAGTCACATGTCAGCTTCCTTGTCACCTGAACCCCATCCCACCACCCTCATCCCATAGCCCCTTCGTGTATCTTGAAGCTACTGGGCTACAAATGATACAAAACCAGGCTGAAATTCCTACCAGTCCCAACCGCCTGAAGAGTTGAAAGGTTGTTCAAAAATTCCCACAAGAGGAGCGCTGAGGAGAAGCACCTGTCAGCAAGGACACTATTGGGGAGGGAATCACATGACACGGACAGAATTGCGCATCCCATCCAACCATGTGTATTTGTCTCTGGAAACATTTTCATAGTTATGGGATTGCCCAGTTTCTTGAAAATGCACCAAAACTAAGAAATCACATCACAAAGATCTGAAGCCCCAGCTTTCCCTCGCTCCCTACTCCGTGCTTCCTGTACCCCACTGATGCCCCTGCCACTTGTGGCTCTGTTCTGGACACACCACACTGTTCCTCAAAATGACGTGCAGGATGAACAAACTTATTTATCAGCTTGCCCAAAAAAGGAGTGAAGACGTTTTCTTAAACGACTTACAATTCCTACTGCAGTATAATAAACAAACCTAGATGGCCACTGGGGCTTTAGAATGAGCACAGATGGGGTCTACGGATAAACATTATAAAGTAAGATTTTCCTACTTTAAATACAGGCAGTCTATCCAGAAATAACCAGGAGTTAGCACTGGGTAGATAAAGGCATATTTCTAGTATTTCTCTCGAGTTCAATTCAAACTTGGATTACGCAAAGGAGTCACATCTCAAGCCAGCCAAAGCCATTTCAGCCTGCTGCTACAATGAGAGAAGCATAAAAGTATATGTTGCAGTTGACTTTATTAATCAAATTTCTAAATCAAGGACATTTGAAGACAGGAAGATGCCAGATTCCCAAAACATATTAAATTTTAAAAGGAAAGCAACTTACAAAGGAATCATAGGTAGTGAATGATTTCATTTGTGTTAAAGTGCGAGACATTTATATGCACAAGGATATGGAAATGCATAGAAAAAAAAGTGAAAGGGTACAAGCCAAACAGTACAGAAGTTACCTGAGGGCACAATTCCAGGGTGAAGATGGGTGGAAGCAAGGAGCAGAGCCCCAGAGACAGGAAGGTGGGGAGAGACTAAATTATTTTGACTGTATGCATTTTTTTTTTTCAAAAATAAGATATATACATGAGTTAAAATATATTTGGTAAAGCTGGGGCTGGCGTTATGGCATAGTGGGTTAAAGCCCTGGCCTGAATCGCCAGCATCCCATATGGGTGCCGTTTTCTAGTCCCGGCTGCTCCTCCTCCAATCCAGCTCTACTATGGCCTGGGAAAGCAATGGAAGATGGCCCAAGTCCTTGGGCCCCTGCAACCACGTGGGAGACCTAGAGGAAGCTCCTGGCTCCTGGCTCCTGCCTTCGGATCGGTGCAGCTCTGGCCATTGCAGCCATCTGGGGAGTGAAGCAGCGGATGGAAGACCTCTCTCTCTGTCTCTACCTCTCTCTGTAACTCTTTCAAATAAATAAAATAAATCTTTAAATATATATATATATTTGGTAAAGCTAAAAGTTATCATAATAATATGGTTAATAGTAGTTAATATTAGAAAGACAATGCATCTCAGCACCAAAACTAAGTATAAAAACATATAGAAATTTCACTTCATTGTCACATTTAACTAGATTGCAACTACTTACCCACAAGGAAGAGGTTGATGTACACACTGTCTCCTGAATGAATAGGCTTCATGGACAAAGAATAGAATCCAAAACTCACTGTAAACCAAACAAGCCAAATAGTCAGTGTTCCTGATGTAACTTTCCAGCTATAGAACAGATCTAATATGTTGGGCTTCTTAGTGGCAGCGGATTTACTACCAACGGGCGCACTCAGATCCAGTGAGAGAACTTCACACAGGTCACAGCGGCTGGTGCCGTTCCAGTGGGCCATCACGTCAATGAGCTGCTGCGCTTCTTTGTATCTCCCCTCGGAGATGAGCCAGAAAGGCGACTCTGGGAGCACCCAGCAGTACAGGATAAAGGGAAAAGTCACTGAAGAGAGGATAACTTGATAAAGCCACCAGGTCTTGACAAAGTAGCCTGTAAAAGCCACCACTATCAGGCCAAACACAAAAAAGCTGTTCATGTTCATGGATGTCCACGTCCGAGATTTTCTGCCAACGAATTCCGTCACGTAGACAAACCCCACCACAAGATAGCCACTTGTAACCTGAAAGACAAGGAGGGGAGGGTTCGCGGTTACAGTCACATGGATGACAACCGAGGGGTCTGCGCTCTGCAATTCACACACAGGCCAGAGAGAGCTGGCCAAAGACTGCTCTCTGAAGCCCAAGTCTTATTTACCAAAGGGCACTCCACCCCATGGGTCCTTTTATCTTCCTGCACCCTCCCCACCCCAAATGGCAACAGATATGTAAATGTGTCATTTAAATGTTCCATTATAATGTGGATGTATTTCTCAGGTCCTTGTGAATGCAAATATCAAGGTATCTGCATAAAAGAGGTCTTATTATGAAATCCCAATGATTAAATGGGGACCAAAGAAGACCCAAGACGCCTGAATACTGAGAAGCCACACTGACCTCAGCTACAGAAAGATCAGAAAAACAAAGAGGGACGGCAGACGGAAACTTTCAGTGGAGAAGTGACAGAACAGAGCCCAGGCGGGACAGCAAGGAAAGAGGACAGACACACTGCCTTTGTCTGCCAGCCGCACCCTGCATCTACGCAGCTGGCTGTCAGTTGAGGGTCGCCATCTTCCCAAGTCAAGGTAGGAAGATGGTGCTGCCTGCCCTGCCACCGGCAGCTTTAACTGAGGGAGAGATCCACAGGCCCCCACTGACTTCAGCTCTGGCCTGGGGAGCTGCCTGGGGTCTGAGCAACTACTTGGCTCCCAAAGCACCAGTCTCAACTGGCTGTGCAGAGGGCACAGCTGATCTCTCTTCCACTGCTAACAGAAGCGACCAGAGACAGGCAACTTAGAGGTCAGAGGGCAGACCCCCTGCATCCTGCAGCTGTGCAGTTTTGGCTTAAATCCCAGAGCTGCATTCACTCACGCTGTGTGATTTAGGGAGGTTCCCCTCAGCTTCTTGATGCTAGCACCATAGCAGCCCATTAAAATATCTGTACCCAACTGGAAAAAGTTCCCTTGACACCACCCAGCTCATGGTCCTGGGAGCTCTTGCATGCCACATGAGACCTGGGGGCAATTCCATCTCTGCCTTGCAGAACCAGGTCTGCTGATGTTGGCAATGCAATCTTTGGAGTAATTTGCATTCACTCAAAAGTATCTGCATCACTCTGCTGCAGGAAGGTGGTTACCACCATCCCCACCCTGGGAAATCTGACCCCACTGTATCCAGTAAAACCAGGACTGTAAGGATCAGTACTAATCTCCTCAAATCCACTGGAATCTAACTGGTAGGACCTAGGGAATTACCTACAGGTATTCCACCTCTCCAGAATCATACCTGCTGGGGCAAAATCTCCTGTATACCTTGTAGTCACGCTGTAGGACTGCAGCAGGGTTAAGCTCATATCCCCCTATCTTGGGACTAGGGCTTTTGGTGTTATAAGCCACAAGACCAGGTGGACTCTCCCAGCAGGACCTGGGGAAGGGCCGATCTACATCACAGATCTACATCTGAGAGCCACAGCTATGGATGCCCCAGCATCACTCAGGCTTGCTGGTGGGACAAGGAGACGGCCCCCTTTGTGTCTCTCAGCACCTGGAATGAGACCCAGGCTGTCAGAATCCCCAGTGTAACTGACATCAAACACTTTGGGGACTGAAGGGACACACTTTAGGCAGCCCACATTCACATTCTGCCCCTACAAACTGCTGAAGACTGGACCACAGCATCACCTATAGACACAGCTGACATTGATTAAAGTCTTTCAAAAGAAATCACTCAGCGGTTACACTTCTTGGCTCACCTAGAACCAATGTCAAAGCAACAAGCCAGGGGACACCTTGAATTCCACCTAAACCATAAGCTCTTTTTCATTACAACTGACTCCATAAAGAAGGGACTATTATTACACCAGATGTGCAGACGTCTCTGTAAGGACATAGGAAATGTGAAGAGGCAAGGTAGCATGACACCTCCCAAAGAGCATAAGAGTTCTCCAGAACTTGATCCTGATCTGATGAAAATCTATGAAATGCCAGAAACACAACCAAAGTAATGATTGTAAGAAAACTCAGTATGATGCAAGAGACTAAAGCTTATAGAAATGAGGAGATTAGTGGGTGACATGAGTGAAAAATCCACTAAGGTGACAGAAATCATTAAGAATCAAACAGGGGTCAGTGTTGTGGCAAAACAGGTTAAGCTGTCTCCTGCAATGCTAATATCCCATATGGGCAATGGTTTGAGTCTCAGCTGCTCCAATTCCCATCCAGCTCCCTACTAATGTGCCTAGGAAAACAGCAGAAAGTGGCCCAAGTGTCTGGGTCCCTGTATCTTCAATGAGAAACCCAGATGGAGTTCTGGGCTCCTGGTGTTGACCTGGGACAGTTCCAACCATTATGGCCATTTGGGTAGTAAACCAGTGGGTGGATGATCTCCATATATTCCTCTCTCTCTCCCTCTTTCCCTCTCTCTCTAATTCTGCCTTTCAAATAAATACATAAATCTCCTGTTGGGGTTGAGCAGTGTCCGCCGCTGAAGGAACGACTCCAAGAGACACTCTCATGCAATCATCAAAGGGTTTATTCAGACCAGCATGCTGGGGCTCTCTGAACGCACAGGGACAGAGCAGCCCCGAGGAGTTGAGGGTCAGGGTTTTTATAGAGTTTTCAGAGACATTCTATACATCATGGTACCATTTAGCAAATCATCTCATCCAGTGGGAAATTCAAAGGACATCTCCTAGAATTGATTAGTGCATCCAATGGCGGGAACGGACCTAGTAAAGGTGGGTGGATGGCTTTGGGGTTGATGCCTTTTGAATTGATTGGCTGAAGCATAGGGTCCAAACTGATGGGGTGTACGTGCTGAACTGCAGGGTCTCAGGTAGCTATCAATCACCTTATCTGCCCTGAGAAGACACCAGGAACTCTAGGTATCTCTCTGTTATCTGTTAATTGGCTGTTGCTAGGAGAGTTTATCACAAGGGGAGTTCATTTATTTAGTTTTACACAAGTAGCAGGTCAAGACATAGGTCACGTAGTTTCGGTTCCTTATCTGCACGGCTGCACCTGGAACACATAGTTTTGGCTTAGGCTTGTAATTTTAAGTTTTAGCCCTTCGCTCAAAAAAAAACACACAGAAATTTTGGAGATGAAAACTTCAATCAATAAAAATGTGATTGAGAGCTTCACCTGAATAGATCAAGTCAAGGAAATAGATCAAGTCAAGGAAAATAGAATAGATCAAATCAAGGAAAATAGAATAGATCAAGTCAAGGAAAGAATTTCTGATATATAGAGCACAAAATTTTTGAAATACCCCAATCAGACAAAAAGAAAAGAATTAAAAAGACTGAAGAAAATCTATATTGGCCGGTGCCATGGCTCAATAGGCTAATCCTCCACCTTGCGGCACCAGCACACCGGGTTCTAGTCCCTGTCGGGGCGCCGGATTCTGTCCTGGTTGCCCCTCTTCCAGGCCAGCTCTCTGCTGTGGCCAGGGAGTGCAGTGGAAGATGGCCCAAGTGCTTGGACCCTGCACCCCATGGGAGACCAGGATAAGTACCTGGCTCCTGCCATCAGATCAGCGCGGTGCGCCGGCCGCAGCGCACCAGCCGCGGCGGCCAATGGAGGGTGAACCACAGGCAAAGGAAGACCTTTCTCTCTTTCTCTCTCTCTCACTGTCCACTCTGCCTGTCAAAAAAATAAATTAATTAAAAAAAAATAAAATCTATATGAAATCTGGGACACCATTAAGAAACCAAATATTGGCCGGCGCCGTGGCTCAATAGGCTAATCCTCCGCTTTGTGGCACTGGCACACTGGGTTCTAGTCCCGGTTGGGGTGCCGGATTCTGTCCTGGTTGCCCCTCTTCCAGGCCAGCTCTCTGCTGTGGCCAGGGAGTGCAGTGGAGGATGGCCCAAGTGCTTGGGCCCTGCACCCCATGGGAGACCAGGATGAGTACCTGGCTCCTGGCTTTGGATCAGCGTGATACGCCGGCCACAGAGCGCCAGCCATGGCAGCCATTGGAGGCTGAACCAATGGCAAAAGGAAGACCTTTCTCTCGGTCTCTCTCACTGTCCACTCTGCCTGTCAAAAAAAAAAAAAAAAAAAAAAAAAAAGAAGAAACCAAATATTCATATCACAGGGATTCCTGAAGAAGAAAAAGAAAAAGCACTGAGAACCTACTAAATGCAGTAAGAGTTGAAGGCTTCCCTGTGGGTGACCCCGTGAGGCTGCCTGCCTTGCCCTTGCAGGAGGTTGAGAGTGCATGGTGCGCCACGCCTCCTGGGAGGGACCCTGAAGCCTGGCTGCTGGCAGGTGGCGGGAGCCCTGGGGACACTTCCCCCAAGTCCCGCCTTCTGCCAATCAGGTAAACTGCTCCCAGGTGTGGCCCAGGCCCACCTGGAAAGCTACACTAGCTACATGACCTTCAAGCTGATTGGAGAGGCATTTTGGCGCCAGTGTCAGTTCTGTCCTATAGAGTTAGTGTTCCCTGAATTAGTTACGGCACTTCTGCCTGCCCTTTAAATGTGTACATGGTTGTGAATATAGATGGACATGTTCACCAAAGCCTGTCCCCGGTGCTTCTTGTGGAAGAACTCCATCGCCCTACTCTCCCCAATGGTCCGGCCTCACAGGGTGACTCTCTACTTCCCAAGTCTTGAAAGAAATATAGACATCCAGATACAAGAAGCTCAAAGGACCCGAAGCCGACTCACTCACAAAAATATTTTCTCTAAGGCATCTTGTATCCAAATTGTCAAAAGTTAAGGATAAGGAGAGATGCCTAAAGACTGTAACAGAAAAGCATCATGTTATATATAAATGAAAACCTGGTACACTAACATCAGACTTTTCAGAGAAACCTTACAGGGCAGAATGTAGTAGGATGATATATTCAAGGTCTTAAAAGCAAAAAACCTTCCAACCATAAACATTATAGATGATAAAGCTATCCTTTAGAAGTGAAGGAGAAATAAGGTATTTCCTGGATAAGCAAAAGCCAAGAGAACACACACTAACACAAAACAAGCCTTACAAGGAATTCTGAAGGGAGCCCTACATCAGAAATA